TACTGATGCAAATATGATCTATTTGGTTCTCCGTGGTGTGGTCCAATGAGATCCATGTAGTTTTGTGTATACGTTTGTGTGGAAATATTGTGCCGCCTATGAACAAGTCGTTCAATGCACATCGATTTGCAAATCGCTCCCCATTGTCGCTCCTTTCTCATAGTCCATATCGTCCCATGATATCTTCATACCTGGTGTTATCCATTCCAACTTCGGCGTTTAGGCCTCCTACCAGGATAGTAAGATTCTTTCTTGGGCATTCCGCTATGATCGACTGCAGCCTTGAGTAGAACTGATCTTTATCGTTGTCGTTGCTATCATTGGTGGGTGCATAACATTGGATAACATTCATCGTGATTCCCTCCTTTGTTTTGAAGGATGCTTTCATGATCCTGGATCCGTGAGATTCCCATCCTATAAGTGCATTTCGTGCTTCTTTGAACAGCATCAGGGCGAATCCCTAAGTGTGCGAAGCATTTTCGTCTTTGTGACCGAAGTACAGCAGCATTTCTCCCGTATCTGGCCTTTTCTGTTCAGCTTGGTTTCAATGAACACCGCCTTGAGTCCCTCCGGGGGCTACTGCCGGTCCCAAGCCCGGATAAAGGAGGAGGGATGGGCATGGGTTTAGCGACGCCATCCCGTAGATAATTAACTTGCTAAAAAACGGTAAACAGAAAAAAATAATTCAAACCATTTAAATTCTGCCCTGAGAGTCAGAATGTCTTCATTTAGAAGAGTTATGACGCCCCATGGTGAAAGCCGAGATCCTTCGGAAGTCACGAAGTCGATGCCCCTCCTGACAACCAGAGCAACCATTTATTTAGGTGCATGGAATGCTATTACAATGTGGGAGAATTTTCCAAATTGCTGCAGAAATGAGGAGATACAACCTAGAGATGCTTGGAACCAGCGAAACACATTGGACGCAGGTTGGACAACAACGACTAGCTTCAAGGGAGCTTCTGTTATACTCCGGCCATGAAAAAGAAAATGCCCCACATACACAAGGAGTCGCATTGATGCTATCCAAACAAGCACAAAATGCACTTATAGGATGGGAATCCCATCGACCAAGGATTATCAAAAGCCACCTTCAAAATAAAGAAAGAGGACATTTCAATGGACATCATCCAACGATATGCGCTTACCACTGATAGCATCAGTGCAATTCCCTAAGTGTGCGAAGCATTTTCGTCTTTGTGACCGAAGTACAGCAGCATTTCTCTCATATCTGTCCTTTTCTGTTCAGCTTGGGTTCAATGAATTTCCGTGATTCCGAGCACCATCAAGTCGTATCTCCTCATTCCCGTTGCTATTTGACTGGTTCTCCCGGTCTTTCACATTGTCCGGACATTCCATGTACCTATAAAAATTGTTGCTCTGGTTGTTAAAAGGGGCATCGGCCTCGTGACTTCCGAATAATCTCGGCTTTCATCATGAGGCGTGATAATTCTTCCTTCAACTCCCAGGGTAGAGTTTAAATCGTTTATTCTGTTTAGCGTTTTTTTAGCAAGGTTGTTTTCTACGGGATGGGGTTGCCAACCCTCCTCCCTTTCCCGGACTTGGGACCGGCAGTAGCGCTAGAAGAGCTACGGGCGGAGTCCGTGGCGTGCAATTGATTAATACACGTTGGATATCTTTGACCTTAGTGTGGATCGATAAACTGGTAGATATTTAGTGACCTAGCTGCCATGTGAATCAGGTAGCGCTCAGAGACATTTCACTGGCCCTACAACTCGATCATCCATCAATTTCGTAATTATCCCGAGTATTGGATTAACACTGAAGTCGTGTTTCAAATAGTAAATTGATAGTAAATTTGGTTAATGGGAGTGATGAAGTTCCAATCTTAACCTGTTAGGAATTTTTAAAAGCTTTAGATTTCCACGTAAACTACATCCCATTTGTGACTTACTATAAATTCATCTATCTGATAATGCTATCATTCCACCATCTGGTCCAGTAATTTACCATATAAAAGGTTTTACCAAGTCATTCGACTATAAAAACTAAAGTTTGTGAGTAAAGTAACGCTATTGCTTATTTATGACTATTTCTATGAATATCATGATAGCAGTTAAAGTGCACTAACATCAAGTGGTGACATGTAACGTACGTCCTTTTCCCAGAATCAGTTAATCTTCATTTGCACCAGTCTCCTGTCCTCATTCCATCGAGTAGGAATTACGGAGGTTTGTATTTTCATGTATAAGCAGTATGACTGAGGATACTTGATGATGTTATGTTCTATACATTGTAATAATCCCATAGTTAGGTGCCACTTAGAAATACTGAGGATCAGACAGCTTCGTCGTAGTTTAGATCTTTTCAGCAGTGTGCATTTACAACACGAGTAATCTTAAGAGTACTAAGTTAGATTATTCAAGTTTGTATTCTTAGTTTCCGCCAATTGATTATTTAACTTTGAGATTATATATTATCATTCGTGATTGTGAGTCGAGGATCTTTCACGTAAGTAAAAGTAACAGTTTTGGCCAGTTCAGTAATTCTAATATCTTATCAAACCATCCGCTATCCGATTACACTATAATATCATTGAACATAAATAACGAAACCGCTTTAGAATTACTTCAGTTGAAGATAAAGATCCAATTCATAAAATATGCATAGAATTACATGTCGACCAATACCTTTTTTATTACTTAGGTCGCTAAAAAGAAACTACGGACATCTGAAATTACTGACGAAAGCCTACATTTCTCTCTTTTTTTGTTATCGTAGTTACGTTGAGAACAGAGTTTACTTTTGTTCAAGTTTTTACGCTTAAGCATGCTAATAAGGTAAATGACATAAAATGAGAAGTGACAGGTAAACTGAATCAATTTTCAAAATCATTAAGTAGTATTCTGTGATAGGAAACTATTTCATTGAAGACGAAAACCTGTCGATAATAAGTGGTACTATCGTACAGAATACATTTATCTGCGTGTTTGAAAAGAAAAGTGATGGGAGTGAGTTATCCTATGATTATTTAGTTAGTATGCTTACCAAAAGTGTATTATCAGACAATTGTTTTGACAAAATTTTTAATCTTGTGATTGTAAACCTTTTTTGAACTAATTTATGACTCCATGAACAATATTCTGGATGGTTAGGATGGGATATTGGTGGTTCTAGAAGTAATTCGATTATATCAAACTAGTCAAAACAGTCATACTTCAAAGTATTCAAGTATAAACCGACCAAAAACAGTTCTCATAGTTTCAGCAATCCGAAAATTGTCACTAATCATACAGAGAAGCTTGAAACATGTGTGATCAAGAAAATATTATTCAACCTTATCTTATAGGGCTTTTTAAGAATTTTAGCAGATCACCTTTCTAAGGTTACTGCCCGTTCCAAGCCTGGTTAAAGGAGGGTTGTGCATAGAGTCAGCAACCTCATCTCGTAGGAAACAACAAGAATCCATCTAAACCCTCAGTCGGGAATCGGAGGATCTACATTTAGAAGAATTATAACGCCTTACGGTGAATGCCTAGATCTTTCGGAAGTCAGGAGACCAACGCTTCTTCTGCCAACCTGATCAACAATTATTATAGGTACACAGAATGTCCAGAAAATGTAGGAGACTGGGTCATTTCATTATACGTCCATAAAGTTAGTCGTTGGCTATTAGTACCTAATAGACATTAGGTATTAGTTTTAGAATTAAATGTTTGCACAAACTAGTTAACAATCGAACGATTATTATTATTATTATTATTATTATTATTATTATTATTATTATTATTATTAAACATCAGTAGTAACATGTATGTATGCATGGAACGGGAATAATTGCATCCGTAATCACAAATATATATATATATATATATATATATAAAGTATTTTTTGCCACATAATGTGTACAGTCAAACAAAAAATAGTTTGATTGTGTTTAATTGTAAAAGGATTAGTAATGATGTAAACAATGAAAGTAAAGAAATCAGATGAAAAAACTGATCAGCCAATAAATCAATACATGATTAATATTAGTAGTAGTTGCTGTTGTGACACAAACAATTAACATTTTGAATCGGTCATTTATTGTGATTTAAAAAAAGAACCCAGAAACGAGAATGAGAATTCAAGTGAAAATATCAGTAGAGGAAAAAAATAGTACAAATAAACATAGAGTGAACTGCTATATATAATGGAAATTGAATGACATTTCACAATTTTATTTAACATTTGACTGGTGGTTCAGTAACATTCGTAGAATTACTTGTCTTTGGATGAACTTATTCTGTCCGAAAACATATGATGTACATTACTATCACCAAATGAATTATGTTTCTTTTTTAATATATGTAAGCGTGTTATATCAAGGAGGGGGCTGTGTCGGTAAAAAGTATCTCAATGGAAGGAGAACTATTCTTTTTCACAATAAAAGATAAGGATAATAATTTATTTCATATTAACTTGATAATATTAGGTGTTGTAATAGGCTCAAAATAGTAACGACAGCATCAGCAGTGTAATCGTTTTCAGAAGAAAAACGGAATAAAACACATAAAAAACTTTGCATAAGCACAGTGATCCTAAATACGCAAGTAAGATTTCAATAATGTTGATGATAGCCAATAATCACATACTGCAATTAGGAAGAGTTGAGAGATCCCTGATAGCTTAATTCTTGACAAGACAAAGAATATGTAGTAAACGCTATGAATCGATTGTCTTTAGAAGGGAGAAAGGCGAAGAAAATCAAAGCTAATCAGTGTAGAAAGATTGAGTGCACTAAGAATTGGTACTGTATATGTTGTACAGAATAGCATAACTGTCAAATGACAATGATACTTTGGAGTTAGCATTTTAAAAGAAAAATGAAGGCATTAGAGATCACTAACTTTCCTTTTCTTAAAAAATCAACCCGAAAGAGAAAATGAAGGAATAAGCAACCAGTGTTTGAACACAAACAAAAGTAGTAGTAGTTCCAATAATGATGCGATACTACAATGGAAATAATAGTCACAGTTACATAATAATGATTATCATCTTTAATAAAATGGATTTAAACTACTTGTCGGTTGTTGATGCATCATATTATTTCCAGAGCCATCAATAACGGACCATGCACTTGCAGTATTGATCGGTACCATATAATTGGGTTGTACTGGTGCGACAGAACCACTAGCAGGATAATATGGTCGAACTTGATAGAACATCGGATTATTCATTGTGTTATGATAGATTGGACCTGACAGAGGTGCCGGTGCTGGTGCCAATTGATTCAGTGATGGTTTCAATGACTGATTAGGTATAAACGGATTACATGCTGCACCGGTTACAGATTTCGAACCAACAGTGAATGGATTTGTAGAAGCTAATTGAGGAAGAAGGAGAAAAAATATAATGCAAAGTAAAATTATAAACTTGACGATAATATCAACTTACAATACCAGGGATTCGAAATGATCACGTTCGTTGATTAAAAGAAGTATATAATATTCACTTTCAGTGCTACTTTCCCTGATCACTTCGTGATAAACTGCCATGAGTTTTTTCATGAAATATGTAGCGTTTTTTCACACTGGCTAGCAACGGAATAACACCGGTGTTTTGTATTGAATGTTGGGAGGAGAACTATGATAAACGTGATGAGATTAAGAAGCGTCTAAACATGTGGGCATAAAAATTAAACAAACCCATTAGTCCTAAATCCATATAACCCAAGTAAACTAAACAAACGAAGTAATTTGAAACTTAACACGCAAATCTTTTTCTGAAATACTATAAGGACTTTCAGGTTCCGTATACCCAAGGCTTCAATAAACCTTAGTATGCGCCCTTGAAAGCTTTTGTACAACACTACAAATGCTGACTTGGTATCAACGCTATGAACAGTCTCAATCAAACGATTCGCAACGATAACCATCGCCTCATTGCATTATCAAAATTTATCAAAGGGACTGTTTTAAATTTCTGAAAAGAAGACTACACAAATTACTAAAAGGTTATATGAACGTGTTAACATCAAGTGTACAATTATATTGGAACGAAACTGGATTTTTATAAATTTTGTTTGTCAAATCACATATTCCCGAACCAGTTATGTAAGAATCTTCCTTCAAGTAAATTACAGCCAAAAATTCTAAATCTTATTCGACAGACTAAATCTTAAGTGATAAGCTGGTCAATTTAATTGAACTGCAAACTCAAGGATTACCCGTATTAACAGAAATGTCTATAGTGTGCCATAACAAATTCATTAGCTTTTGCAAAACTGTCATTATGAAAACGAAAGAAAGGATCAGAAAAAAACATGGAAAAATTTTCTGTAATAATAATATGCATCATGCTTCATTTCCAACCAATTCTGATAAATATGTCACTAATTTATCCTCCATTGTATTCTCCGTTCATCAAAAGGAGGCACTTTATCAGCGTTTGAAATTTTCTGTACAAAACATCGCCTGTAGCACTTATTGAAATACTGCCGGAAGCAAGCATGGATAAAAGAAGAAAGTTGGGCATGGGGTCAGAACGACATCCGGTAGAAAACAACGTTGGTTTTATTCATGGAAATACAAACCTCCGTAATTCCTACTCGATAGAATAAGGACAGGAGACTGGTGCAAATGAAGATTAACTGATTCTGGGAAAAGGACGTACGTTACATGTCACCACTTGATGTTAGTGCACTTTAACTGCTATCATGATATTCATAGAAATAGTCATAAATAAGCAATAGCGTTACTTTACTCACAAACTTTAGTTTTTATAGTCGAATGACTTGGTAAAACCTTTTATATGGTAAATTACTGGACCAGATGGTGGAATGATAGCATTATCAGATAGATGAATTTATAGTAAGTCACAAATGGGATGTAGTTTACGTGGAAATCTAAAGCTTTTAAAAATTCCTAACAGGTTAAGATTGGAACTTCATCACTCCCATTAACCAAATTTACTATCAATTTACTATTTGAAACACGACTTCAGTGTTAATCCAATACTCGGGATAATTACGAAATTGATGGATGATCGAGTTGTAGGGCCAGTGAAATGTCTCTGAGCGCTACCTGATTCACATGGCAGCTAGGTCACTAAATATCTACCAGTTTATCGATCCACACTAAGGTCAAAGATATCCAACGTGTATTAATCAATTGCACGCCACGGACTCCGCCCGTAGCTCTTCTAGCGCTACTGCCGGTCCCAAGTCCGGGAAAGGGAGGAGGGTTGGCAACCCCATCCCGTAGAAAACAACCTTGCTAAAAAAACGCTAAACAGAATAAACGATTTAAACTCTACCCTGGGAGTTGAAGGAAGAATTATCACGCCTCATGATGAAAGCCGAGATTATTCGGAAGTCACGAGGCCGATGCCCCTTTTAACAACCAGAGCAACAATTTTTATAGGTACATGGAATGTCCGGACAATGTGAAAGACCGGGAGAACCAGTCAAATAGCAACGGGAATGAGGAGATACGACTTGATGGTGCTCGGAATCACGGAAATTCATTGAACCCAAGCTGAACAGAAAAGGACAGATATGAGAGAAATGCTGCTGTACTTCGGTCACAAAGACGAAAATGCTTCGCACACTTAGGGAATTGCACTGATGCTATCAGTGGTAAGCGCATATCGTTGGATGATGTCCATTGAAATGTCCTCTTTCTTTATTTTGAAGGTGGCTTTTGATAATCCTTGGTCGATGGGATTCCCATCCTATAAGTGCATTTTGTGCTTGTTTGGATAGCATCAATGCGACTCCTTGTGTATGTGGGGCATTTTCTTTTTCATGGCCGGAGTATAACAGAAGCTCCCTTGAAGCTAGTCGTTGTTGTCCAACCTGCGTCCAATGTGTTTCGCTGGTTCCAAGCATCTCTAGGTTGTATCTCCTCATTTCTGCAGCAATTTGGAAAATTCTCCCACATTGTAATAGCATTCCATGCACCTAAATAAATGGTTGCTCTGGTTGTCAGGAGGGGCATCGACTTCGTGACTTCCGAAGGATCTCGGCTTTCACCATGGGGCGTCATAACTCTTCTAAATGAAGACATTCTGACTCTCAGGGCAGAATTTAAATGGTTTGAATTATTTTTTTCTGTTTACCGTTTTTTAGCAAGTTAATTATCTACGGGATGGCGTCGCTAAACCCATGCCCATCCCTCCTCCTTTATCCGGGCTTGGGACCGGCAGTAGCCCCCGGAGGGACTCAAGGCGGTGTTCATTGAAACCAAGCTGAACAGAAAAGGCCAGATACGGGAGAAATGCTGCTGTACTTCGGTCACAAAGACGAAAATGCTTCGCACACTTAGGGATTCGCCCTGATGCTGTTCAAAGAAGCACGAAATGCACTTATAGGATGGGAATCTCACGGATCCAGGATCATGAAAGCATCCTTCAAAACAAAGGAGGGAATCACGATGAATGTTATCCAATGTTATGCACCCACCAATGATAGCAACGACAACGATAAAGATCAGTTCTACTCAAGGCTGCAGTCGATCATAGCGGAATGCCCAAGAAAGAATCTTACTATCCTGGTAGGAGGCCTAAACGCCGAAGTTGGAATGGATAACACCAGGTATGAAGATATCATGGGACGATATGGACTATGAGAAAGGAGCGACAATGGGGAGCGATTTGCAAATCGATGTGCATTGAACGACTTGTTCATAGGCGGCACAATATTTCCACACAAACGTATACACAAAACTACATGGATCTCATTGGACCACACCACGGAGAACCAAATAGATCATATTTGCATCAGTAGAAAATTCACAAGGTCAATGGAAGACGTGAGAACCAGGAGAGGAACTGACATAGCTTTAGATGACCACCTGGTTGTGGCCAATTTAAAACTGAAGCTAAAGAAGAACTGGACAACTGGACAAACAGCATTACAAAAGTTCAATACAGGCTTCCCACAGGATACTAACAAACTCAATGGATTCAAGATAACTCTCAACAACAGGTTCCAAGCCTTACGGATCTACTGAAAGAAACTACGATTAGGACAACTAGAAAGGTATCAAAAAAGCACTAACTTCAACGTGTCAGTCGGTGCTGGGCCGTAAGAAGCACCATTATAAGGAATTGATCTCTATCGAAACCCTAGACAAAGTTCAAGAAAGGAAGAACAAGAAGATAGCAATTAACAACAGCCGAACGAGAACATAGAGAGTCGATGCACAAGCTAAATACACAGAAGCGGACAAAAGAGGAGTATTAGAGCCGACAAGCAGAAATACGTGGAAGAGCTGGCAACGAAAGAGGAAAAAGCTGCAAGAAAAGGAAATGTGAGACAGCTATATGACACAATGAAGAAACTAGCAGGGAAATATGGTAAGTCATGGAGACCGATCAAGGACAAAGAAGGCAAACCAATTACTGAAATTCAAGAACGGAAGAACTTTTGAATAGACCAGCTCCATTAAATCCACCGGATATCGAATCAGCACACACAGACCTTCCCATGGATGTCACTCCACTAACGATCGAAGGAATCAGGACGGACATCAGACAAATCAAGAGCGGGAAAGCAGAAGGATTCGACAATATATCAACCGAAGCACTAAAGCCAGACATAGAAGTAACTGCAGGCATGCTTCACGTTCTATTCAGGAAGATTTGGGAGGAAGAACGAGTGCCGACGGACCGAGAAGAAGGATACCTCATCAGGATACCAAAGAAAGGAGACCTGAGCAGGTGCGAGAATTACAAAGCCATCACACTACTGTCAGTACCAGGAAAATTTTCAGTAAGGTGTTGTTGGACCGGATGAAAGACTCAGTAGATGCCCAACTTCGAGACCAACAAGCTGGATTCCGTAAGGATCGGTTGTGCACAGACCAAATCGCGACACTATGGATAATGGTCGCACAATCAGTTGAATAGAACTCGTCACTATACATCAACTTGCTCGATTATGAGTAAGCATTTGACAGTGTGGATAAGAAAACATTATGGAATACCTGAGATAATTTTCACTATCGTTCGGAATTCATACGACGGACTACAGTACAAACTCGTGCATGGAGGACAGCTGACAGACGCATTACAAGTGATGACCGGTGCCAGATAAGGCGTTAGAAGTGAATAAGGCACATTGAGAAAACCATCAAACTGCACCATGAGGCAAGCGCTAACATGGATTCCTGTAGGGAAACGAAAATGGGAAGGCCGAAGAACATAGTGCGCCGATAATTGGAAGCAGACACAAAAAGAATGAACAGTGACCTGGAAGGACTACCCAGGACAGGGTTGGATGTAGCATGCTGGTGAGCGGCTTATCCTTCTCACGAGGCGCAACAGACGTTAGTAAGTAAGCAGAACACAAATCCCTGAATCGGCCACCAATTTCCTATTCGC